CTCCTTGCTCAGTGAGTGACCAGAGCCTGGGCTCTGCCCCTTGCTGCCGGGGGGTGACAGTCACGGGTCAGGGCTTGGGAGAGGGGTTGGAGGGAAATCAGCTCGTGGGGAGCCTGTGTTTTGGCTAAACAACAGGCGAGGAGTGGGAAATGAGTTTAATTCCCCAGCCCTGGGCACAGAGAAGTGTATCTGAGGTAGATAAAGCTCACGCTGTGTTAGCCATCTGTGCAGCTCTCCTGGCCTCACCCCTGCTTTGCTCTGGCCCCGAGCAGGCTCCAGGCTGGAGGAGAAGCCCTTCAGTGAGATGGAAATGTCTTACATCAAGCAAGGAGAAGAAGCCCTCCAGAAATCCCTCAGCATCCTCGAGGACCAGGACGGCTGGAAGACAGAGACGCTGGTGGTAGGTGCTCTGCTGTGCTCAGCACCCTCACACCACCCCCCTGTGAGGAGCAGTGGTGTTAATTCTGCCCTCCCCTCTCCAGAGTAACGGAGACAAGGTGCTGAGCAAGGTGCTGCCGGACGTGGGCAAGGTGTTCCGGCTGGAGGTGGTGGTGGACCAGCCCCTGGACACGGTGTACAGCGAGCTGGTGGACAACATGGAGCAGATGGGCGAGTGGAACCCCAGCGTCCAAGAAGTGAAGGTAGGAAGTGGAGCAGAGGTTGGAGCTGCCTCAGCTGGGGCCTCACACAGACACACACACGCTGCTCCGAGCGGCAGGGGGAGGGCCAAGGAATCACTTTGCTCATCGAAGCAGGAGCACAGGGACTTCTCCACCCATTCTCTGGGAGAGGAGGACCCTGGCTTTATCTTATTGCTTCCTGCTGCACGGCAGAGCGTGTCCAGTGGCGTTGCTGTGCAGCAGAAGTGGGGCTGCAGCAGCTCGTCAGCTTTTTTTGCTTCAGGTGCACCAAAGTACATTCGCTACACGAGAGGCGAGGGAGCAGCCCAGTCCTGCTGTTAAACGTGTTACTGGAGGAGAAACCCCACAGACCCTGACGTGCAGGGAAGAGCATTTTGCTGTTCCACAGCTTGTCTGGAATGAGAGAAGCCTTAAGAGAAACACTTCCCGTTTTGGGTAGTGAGCACTCAGGTTCTGCATTCCGGGGTGAAGGAGATAGTTGTGCTTTTTCTCTGTAGAGTGGCCGAGCACAGGGTGACCAGAGGTGGTGTTAGCCACATCTCCAGTAAATGCTTCAAACTAATATTTCCGCTCTGAACTGCCCAGATCCTCCAGAGGATCGGGAAGGACACGGTGATCACCCACGAGAAGGCGGCCGCGCCCCCCGGTAACC